GGCGATGAGGGTATAACCCTCTGCTGATGGGAATCACTGGAATGATAAAGCGTCGGGATGGACCAGGTGATGGAGACGGAGAAGGCGAGACGGTACGCCATGTCGGGACCAGAGAGGAGGGGGGCTGCTGTGCCACAGGAAGACGGTGAGAGGACGGTACCGGAGAAGGAAGGGGCTGCTGTGTAGAGGGAAGAGGATAAAGTCTCTGAGCCGATGCGGGAAGAGGCTCCTGCATAGCAGGAAGGTATTGGAATTGACGCCTCTGTTCTTCCATGAGACGCAACTGCTCGGGCTGGACAGGGAGCAGGTAGCTGTTGGATGCTTCATTATAGACCAGTTGCGGGAATCTGGATCCACAGGTCTGAAGCTGGTTCAACTGCAGGCTGTTGCTGCATCTGCCCTGAAACAGATGTAGGAGATGGATCACCCTTGGACCTGATATTGCGGGCTGGAGACGGGGAGATGGTGGAAGGCATGGCCATATGCGGCGTTGTGGTCGGAGGCTGTTGTATTTCCGCCTCGGACTGTGTTGACACACACCATCGGAGTGGCCGGTTTCGACATAGATGGGCCCGTGGAGGTCGGTACCGAGACAGTCATTGGTGGAGGCGTGGAGCGTGTTAACAATGGGGTTTTTAGATTTTCCCTGGATCTAGACTTGCTCCTAGAGAGCATCGTCGGTTCTCTGTCAGTGGAGTGCTGGTGGGGATGCCGAACAGGCTTTCTTGCTGGACAAAGGAGCCTCCGTGATGGTCTCCAAGTGTTTGCGCTTGGAAGACCTCTTTCCACCCCTTTCCATGTCCTTAGGACTCACGCTCTCCATGTGTTTGGATGACCTCTTAGATCTCTCCCTGGATCTTCCCCTTTGACAAGGGGAAACCTTCCTTTGTCAACCGAGGAAGGTTTGGAAATGGCTACCGAAGCCAAGGCCGTAGCTGGTTCCTCAGCTTGCAAAGCCTTTCCCACAAAGCTGCCCTCAGCCTGACCATTCTATTCTTCAGGGCTTGAGAGGTCATTTTCCTGCACAGCTTACAGATTTTTGGATTGTGGATGTCTCCAAGGCAAAAGACACATTCCTCATGTTGGTCTGAAGTCCGGAATTTAGAATTGCAAGAGATGCAATGCTTGAAAGGCACCATGGTCATTGAATCCAAAACTTGAAGCAAAGTCGAAGTAGTTAACAGTCCAAGTCAAATCGATTGTAGCGGTGAATAGTCCAATGAACAGAATAAAATCGCAATCCAGAAGAATAATCAAGTCCAATAAACGTGGTCAAAACCGTTAGACGAGTAAACTGCCTAGTAGCGAGGTTCCTTGCTAGCTGCAAAAGCGGCAGATGAAAGGAACTGAGAAGTGGGAACGCGGGGCTTATATAGAGGTGGGCGGAGCTCCACCAAAAAGTTGCAATCCAACTTTTGCCTAGTGATTCTAGAAGGTTCCGAACTAGCTGTGCATGCGCAGGTAAAACCCATTTGTGTGATTTGTAGAGACCACGAAGAAGAAAGAAACTTCTAGGTGTGTGCACATTTTCTTCCTCAAGCCACTCAACCCAATAAAGCACAGGGTGAAGAATTGAGTTTACCTTAATGTCCCTGTGGAGAAAGCATATTGCTGGGAGTGAGGACTGGTTCAGGACTCTACTATTTGACAGATTTGCCAAGGATATTACTATGAAACATGTTTATTCAGTTAACTGCAACAATTTGCTCTGTGTCCTCTGCAGCATTGTCTGAACCATGGTCCTCTTATTTAAGGATAGATCCCTCAGGCTTCGTTTTTCTAGGCACAGGTTAAGTTCTGCCCTTCTGAGCTGATGTTTATTTTGTAGACAGCTTGAGAGATGAAACAGCATCTCACAACCAGATATTCCAGTTTTTGTTATCATATTGACAGTAACCGATCCTTAGCCTTCCCAAAAGCTGCAAAGAAAATACAGATTTCTGCACCCTGCTCTAATACACACTGCAAATGTGTTTGCATTCCCTTATTGAATGTTTGCTCATTCTGATCTTTTTTCCCAAAAGCTGCCATGAAACTTTCTCAATGGGTCCAGCTTAATGTATCCTAAAAGAGAACTGAAATTTGATGGAAGAGCTTGGGTATCTGATCTGATGTAGGCATCATGCATTTGCTTCTTCCTGGCTGGATATGAGACAGAAGGGTTCTGGTGCAGCACACCACATGCCATAATGACTAATTTTCTCTTTAAGATCACTCTCAACTTATTTTTGCTACAACAAATAGTTCAGTTCAGGGGTCACCTTTTGCTGTGCCTCTGCTGTTCAGTTCAGGAATCACTTTGTGTTGTAACTCATGAAAAGATATGCTAAGATTGAACTCAAGACTTAGGCATGCAAGTAAAAAAGCAAACACATGGCTACTTGGTAACCCCATTTTCATCAACATTTGCTCAGTGTCCATTTATTTTATCCCATCTCGCACAAAACTTAAGTCCCACATTACAGCTGGAAAGAAGACCTCAATCTGGATTTTGAAAATGTTAAAATGCCAGTTGTTGTTGTTGTTGATATTGTTGTTGTGTGCCTTCAAGCTGTTTCCATCTTCTAAGACAAACCTATTACAGAGTTTTCTTGGCAAGATTTATTCAGAAGGGGTCTGCCTTTGCCTTCCTCTGAGGCTGAGAGAATATGACTTGTCCAAGGTCACCCAGTGGGTTTCCATGGCTGAACAGGGATTTGAACCCTGGTCTCCAGAGTTGTAGCCCAATGCCCAAACCATTAAACCACACTGGCTAAATTCTGCAGTTTTGGACTACAACTTCCAGAATTGGGATTCTAGGACTTGTAGTCCAAAACAGTAATTTTTCCAAGTTCTGTAAAATGCATATTGGGCCAGTGGAGGAGCAAGGGTTATTAAAAACCAAAAAAATATTTTAAAGCAAGCAAATTAAGATTCTGGAAGTTGTACTTCAACAGAATATCTGCCAACCTCTGTGAAACACAATGCATTACGAGGGAACCCTATTAAGAACAGTCAGCCCTTCGTATCCATAGATTCTGCATCCACAGAGTCAACCATCCACGGCTTGAAAATATTCCGCCACCCCTCAAAAAATCCAAAAAAACATTTTGCAGTTTCATATAGGAGACAACATTTTACTACACCACTGTATACAATGAGACTTGAGTATCCATGGATTTTGGTTTCCACAGGATATCCTAGAACCAAACCCCAAGAGATACCAAGGACCCACTGTACCTTTAAACAAGCAAAACAAGATAAATCAGCAGCATTTCAACCCACTGTCAGGATGATGCAAAGGCCAGCTCATCTCACAGCCAGATGACATTTGGTGCCTCCTTGTTTCTTCAACCCAGGGGCTCCTGCAGCAAATGGGCTGCAGGCATGGAGATAATTTATTGTGGCCTGCAGTCTCTACTACTTTCATTCTGGCCAAACAAGCCAGATGACCTGCTCAGATGTCTCATGAAAAGTTTCCAGAAGAAGAATTTCAGAGCCTGTTGGCTGCATAAACTTTCCCTAAATCAGCTCTGAGACTTTTCCCAGTCTTAGATCCAGATTCTATTCCTTTGCACATCCCATGATACTGTCTTTCCATGGGGCACTGGGAGAAAAGGAAATTCACCAGATGATGAAAAATGGCTGTTAGAAACCAGCAAATGTTCTAGATTAAGCACTTGAAAAAGTCTTGTCTCAGTAAATTACCAGTTCCATGAAAATGTGCCCCTCCTCTACACTAAAAATAAAAGCTGTTCTGAATTCCCCCCCCCCCCCAAGTTTTCTGTGATGCAAACATGTGCTGTTGGAAAGAATTTTGGATCCAATGCTTTTTTTTCCTGCCCTGCAGCACTTTCCATGGAATGTGGTGATGGCTTACTGTGTCCCTCAGAGCAAAGCTAGAGAAGCAAATCTTTGTCAGCCATTAGAAAAGGAAGCAACATAATGGCTCAGGGAGCTAAGCAGCTGTTTGCCTAGGCCATTGCAGGAAACATAGCAGTGTGATTGATTAACTTAGCCCTTGATCTACTGTGCTGGATATCAAGGAAAAAGCAACATGGGACATACAGTAATAGAAATAAAAAT